TTAGAGATTCGTTAAGAATAGGTACTTAAGCGACTTTCTAACGAAAATTCGAAATTTATTTAGATTATTGATACTATAGTATGCACTTAAACGATACCTTCCTAATTAACACTAAGGAGTAGTTAAGAACCTCTTACTGCATAATTTTGAAAATACTGTTCTTTATTTATTAAAAATCCCTAATACCTTAAGTCATATCAAAGAGCTAAATAATTTAGGCGTCGGTTAATAAAACGAGGAATAAAAACAAATCATAATCATTAATCATGAACATCGTCCGATATTTAATTGTAGATTGCCATAAATATCTTCTTATAATATTCTAATAAACTTTAAGCGCCATCTATTAGATAGAGAATAGAACTATGATACACAACAGATTCATAAATATAGCTATATGAGTAAAATAGTTATATATGTAAAGATAAATTAATTAAACTTTATTTTCTATATACATTGCACTCTGTTTGTTTAAAATTCAGCTGCTAGACTTTAGCGCCATCTAGTAGAAACAAATGAATGAGTCGTACTAGTTTGAGTAAATTTACATAGATGTCACTAAAGCACATAATAATTTATACCTGAGTTTAATGCGTTAGATGGGGCCTCATAGCCTAGCGGTCTTATTAAGTGGCAACTAGGTGAGGGGTACCGGGTTCGATTCCCGGTTCAAGGGCAAGTTTTAATTTAATTTAAATTTGTTCTCGGCCTTTGGGAGGGTTGTGCGGTACCGGGAAAGTGCTTAAACCGTACATGGAGGACACGGTCGAATTTCTAAAGATTATCTCTCTTATACTTGACGCTGGCTAATGCAAAAATCGTGCCAGAGCCATAGGAACAAAATGCGATAGATGAAAACTCTTTTGTAAATAAAAAAGGGAGTTTTAAAACTTAGTAATAAAAAGCGAATAAACTTTGAATCAGGATTGATAAAATTTGGGTTTGTATAATACAAAATTTTTAATTTAGAATTATAATTTTCAGTTATATACATGGTCATGGAAATAACAAAACAAGTTTTAGTACGCAGCACATACAGAAAAAAACCTCGGGGTTTATTAAATAAAACACAAATTATGGCAAGAGATTTATTACAAAACATACACTTAAAACTAAATATGTTACAAAAACGTCTACTTAAAATTACTAAACATAAATAAATGCCTGTACAATATTATCTATTTTATATATTAATTGTTCACTGGCACGTTATAAACTATAAATTCGTCGTAATCCGCTAGATGGCGACACACATCGCCATTAAAACGCTAGAAACGTCTGTCACTTCAATAATGATTTCAAAGACCATAATAAGTTTCCTTTTCTATTTTGTTTCTGTCCATAGCGCTGATATCGCGCTGGAATTGCGTAGTACGAAAACTCATTATTGAAATTAGAATCGCTATTGCGTGGTAGGCTCCCGGTATCTTATACCTTAAGTAGCACCAGAAGAATAATATTGTTCTTAAATTTTCCTACTGTTTAGAGAAAAGGAGTTTGAGAGTCACCATGCCAAAGAAAGACTGATACAGCATTGTCATATATATCATCAAGCATTAAAGTTGCACTTAAAATACAATTAATTTCAAAGTATTTAGTTGGCCCATGATTGCATTAGCTACACTTTCTAGCCGTTGTTCAACTCAAGTTCAAGTTGTTATTAAAATATACCTCTTATAACAAGCGTTTTTCCCTTCATACCTATCAACGTCTAGATAATGATTTTAGCTAACTTTTTACATAAAACTATTATGAGCAATTATTGTCGCTTCATTTAAAAGTCATATTTAGAAGAACAGCTACTACTAAGGAAACTGCGTTGCGATTCTGTAACTCACTTTTCAAACTCGCACAGCGGTTTTCACAGCGGCGGTCGCGCTCAAATCAGTCGTGACGCAGTCATTTTACGATTTGGCATTATGATAAGGAAGGAGCTTGTAGTTTATTGTTAAGTCGTAAAATGACTGCTTCACGACTGATTTGAGCGCGACCGCCGCTGTGAAAACCGCTGTGCGAGTTCGAAAAGTGAGTTACAGAATCGCAAGGCTGAACTAAGGGCTCATATCTCGTAATAAAGATTAAAATTACCCATATCGTATGATCTTCAATAATAATAATAATAATAATAATAAAGCCTTTTTTATTTCCTGTTTTACAAAAGTTGGTAGTTGTTATATTAAAGTTACCAAAAATATTGATTTGTTAGTAGGTTAGCTTAAATTATGTTAGTAATATATATTTATAGGATTTATTTAACAGGAACCCCGGTTTGGGTAAAGGCCTCCTCCAAAGATGCCCATTGTTGTCGGTCCTGTGCTATGGAGTGCCAGTTTTTGCCAGCTGATCTTTTCAGATCATCTTCCCAGCGGTCTAAGGGTCTCCCCTTCCGCCTCTTGCCTGGTGGTCCTTTCCATTGGGTAACTCGTTTGGTCCACTTTCTGCTAGACATTCTTGCCACATGGCCAGCCCAATTCCATTTCAGTTTTCGGGCAAAAGTTAAAGCGTTTGTAACTTTAGTGACGGCTCTTATCTTTGTATGTCTTATTTTGTCCATTCTCTTTATATTCAACATGCTTCGCTCTAAACCTCTTTGACATACATTGATTTTATTCACAGCTTGTGTAGAGAATTTCCAGGTCTGGCTTCCATAAGTTAAGCTGGGTAGTAGACATGAGTTCATAACTTTAGCTTTGAGAGTTATTGGTAGGTTACTCTTAAATATTTCTTTTAGGCTCCAATATTTATTCCAGGTTTGTTGGACCCTTCTCTCTATTTCTATAATGTTACTGTTTTCCTCGAAACTTATTCTTTTTCCCAGGTAAGTATAATTTTCTACATACTCTAAAGGGTTACCATTGATATTTATAGGTCTTTTTCGTGTATTACTCATTATCTTTGTCTTCGTTAGATTCATCTCCAAACCAACTTCCGCACTCACCTGTTGTAGAGATTCTATCATGAATTGCATCTCGTTGACTGTCTCTGACAGAAGGATCAGGTCGTCAGCGAACCTCAGGTGACTTAGGTAGGTGCCTTTTATACAGAGTCCTGTTTTACTCCAATCTAATTTGTTCATGATGTTTTCGAGTATTGCTATGAAAATAGTGGGTGAGAGCGGGTCCCCCTGTCTTACCCCTCTTTCTATATGGAAGGCGGGGCCTAAAGTTTCTAGCTTTATTCTTCCTTTGTTGTTATTGTATATGCTTTTAATCACCTTTATGTATTTATCTGGCACCTCTTGTTCTTTTAAGCTTTCCCATATACTTTTGTGTATGACTGAATCAAAAGCTTTTTGATAATCAACAAAAGTTATGTAAAGAGGTCTCTGAAATTCTTGATATTTCTCCATAACTAACTCTATGGTGTGTATGTGGTCGATAGTAGAGTACCCTTTTCTGAAACCTGCCTGTTCTACAGATTGTTTTGCCTCTATTATCGGGCTTAGTCTATTATTTATAATGGATGCGAAAAGTTTGTATATATTTGGTAACAAACTGATTGGTCTGTAGTTGCTGATATTTTTTGGATCGCCTTTTTTATATATAAGAACGATATCTGCTTCAGACCATTCTATGGGCGTTTCAGAACTTAGAAGTATAGAGTTAAACAGTTCAGTTAATGGTTCTGCCAAAATTTGATGACCATATTTTAGCGATTCATTTGTGATATTGTCAGATCCGGGACTTTTTTCGAATTTCAGCTTTTTTATTGAGTTTATTACTTCGGTTTTGTGAATTGGTTTTATAGAGTGGCAGTCTACAGTTTCTGTTTCGATTTTGTAAGTTGTTCGTGTTTTGTCTCTGTAAAGTTTCTTGTAGAAATCAGTTGCTGTATTCACAATATCCATTCGATTGTATAGGTCTTTATTAAGGGTTTTCAGTCCTTCTATCCAGGATTGGTTTGTTCTGAGTTCTTTATATGCTCTCTTTGAGCTGCCGTGAAGCTCAAGGTGTTTCTCTATTATTTCTTGCCTATATTTTGCATAGTCTCTCTTGATATATCTATTAACCAGTTTGTACAGTGCGGAGAGTTCATTTTTCAATGAGCGTGTTTTATTTTTTGTTTGTTGTAGTTCTTGTCTTCTTTTTAATAATTTTAGAGTACGGTCTTGTAATATTTTATGTTTTTTATTATCTTCTGTATTATGTTTCGCAAGGATCAAACTTTGTTGGATGGCCGTCTTTATTTTTACGTAGGAGGTCTGTACCGTTTTGTTCTCAAGGCTGATGGGTTGACCTGATGGCTCCAAGAGAAAGCTTGATAGGTTTTCTTTGTACTTTGTTATTTCATCCTTGTTTCTAAGTTGACTTGTTTTATTATTTGTAAAGTTGGTCCTATTTTTCTTCGGCGTTGGATCTTCAATAATAATTAATAATTATTAATTACCGCATTCGCATTTCGCTTTTTGGCTTGACTTTATCTTTGGCTTAAAAGATAATAGAATCTAAGTACATACATTAATTATTCGTACACAGTTGGTACTATCAAGATTTTATTTACATCTCTGTTACACCTATTTCACTATTAAAAGTAATCGAATTACAGAACTTAGAAAGCTTCTAATTTTAAAAATTGTTAATTTGCTGGTCGGTAAATACAATTTTAGTGGTAAGACAATCTTTTCCATGAGAATAAAATATACTTTAACGAATTTATCGCAATTTTCAAAGACTCTTATTGCGGATAAATAATTAATTATAAAAAGTGCATTTAGTAATGAGTTTTAATGGCGTGATTAATTTAACTCAGTAAAAGAATTTCTAAATGTCTTGAATAGCAACTATTCCTCAGCAAAGTTTCTCATAACAAAAACTACTAAATAACATCAAAGCAAACCATTCTGATACCTTCGTTCTTAAGTTAATATCAATTAATCTTTCCTATTGTGTCCATCCTTATTGAGTAATATGTTATACTCATCTATTGAGAGCAGAATCCCATTGCATTGTACTGATTAATGTTAAGCGAGGAATTGAGCAATGTGGTTTATGACCCTGGCACTAGGGAGGTCTGTAGTGCGACGTCGGTGTACCACTTCCTCGATCTAACGCTGATAACCTGCAGAATTAAACTGATATTAGTTCAAGACACATAGCAACGCCTGTTGAATTAATAGAACTAAATCCTTATCTCCACAAACACAAGAGTGGTGTTGGCCTAGTGGCTTCAGCGTGTGACTCTCATCCTTGATGAGATCGATGTTCGATCTCCTACTGTGCACCAATGGACTATCTGTCTATGTGCCCATATAATATTCGCTCCAACATCGTGAGGAAACTGGCTTGCCTTAGAAGCAAAAAGTGTACGGCGCGAGTCAAGCACAGCCCTGCGATTCTGTAACTCACTTTTCGAACTCACACAGCGGTTTTCGCATTGGCGGTCGCTCTGAAATCAGTCGTGAAGCAGTCATTTTATGATTTGGCATTCTGAAAAGGTGGGAGCTTGTAGTTTATTGTTTATCAGAATGCCAAATCATAAAATGACTGCTTCACGACTGATTTCAGAGCGACCGTCGATGCGAAAACCGCTGTGTGAGTTCGAAAAGTGAGTTACAGAATCGCAGGGCTGAAGGCTGATCACCTACTTGCCTATTAGATTGACAAATGATCATGAAACATAAACCTAATGAAGAAAAAGCGCTGTTTAAGATTTTCATACAAAACTATATTTTATCACTATATTATACGCATTGTTTGTTCAAGATCACAGTTTTGTATATTTAAAAATAAATTACTGTTATGTATATATATATATATATAAATATATTATATAGCAACACAATTTAGTACGTTAAATGTAATTTATCGTATTATACATATTATTACACTCATATAAGGCCTCTGTGTATACCTAGAGTGAAGTGCGCTAAGCCCGTCAACCTCGAGATAGTGCTGTGCAAATACTACGCTTCAATTAGGTAAGCTATTAGTGTCTCTTGTGCGCATGCATTGTACACGATATAGATAGAATGCTAGCGGGACTCTGGAAACGATAATTTCAAGACAATATTGCCACATTTTTATAGCTTCAACACTGCTGTTGACTTCGGTCTGATTGTATATCGTAGGGTCGCGTCGGCATTCCTAGAATTCTTCAGCGTGTGAGCAAGGAAGAGAAATGAAGAGCGAGAGAGAAGAGGCGTAGGAGTAGGTACTCACGCGCCTTCGTGGTGCGTTGCAGGTAGGAGCAGCAGTGGCGCGGCGCCCTCCACAGCTGCGTACAGCGGAGGCAGCACCTTGTGCGAGTGTGCCTCCACTGCGGACCACACCACTGTCAGTATCTGCCCGCGTCATTACACACCCGAAAATTCCCCACACATACCTGTTAAACCGCCGCCCCGGGCTACGCCACCGTGTCCGCCGTGTCCGCTATGTCCACCACCCATACTCTTTGGTTTCCGTTTCCTAGTCTGGATGCCGTCCTTTTTCATACTCAGTGGTCGGTTTACCTACAGAAAGTAACTATGTTAGCGTCTAATATACGGGATTGGAATTTTTTGTTGCTGAATACAGTAAATCGTGATTATATTAATTACAAAGGTAATGCTTGATGCTGTAAGGATATTAAGCAACACGGTGATGTCACCGTGCATGCTGATGCGGCGTCCGGTGACAGAGACAGGTGGCCGACGGGGAAACTCCTCGTAATCTAGCGCCACGCAGTCCTATCATCCTTTAAACAAGCGTATCTACTCACGAAGAGATAATTGATAAAAGATAATTTATCTCATTATGAATATTCGTGGTCGCAATGATAATTCTCTATCAGTCGGTAGCCCCGCGTTTATCTCGAGAGATTAGATGAGACCCTGTGTTTTGATTTTTTTTATACAGGCCCAATATTTGCCGAGGAGTTCCCTGATAACTGCGGCGCTCGATTAGATACCTGCTGCTTGCTACCGCTCTAATCACTTGTAATCGGTGCAATCGCGTGATATCTGCTAAACGTGACTTACATTATGCAGCTTGTAATAGAGGCCGCAGGCGTTGCAGACTGGTTCACCGTTGTTGTTGCGTCTCCAAAGCGTGGTGTTGGACGTGCGACAATTTGCACAGGTCACTCCAACACGTCGGTTACCGTTCGTCGGCTGAAACAAGATAAAACGTCAGTTGCTGAACGATGAAAGTTGTTACGTCAATCCACTGGTTGTACAGAGTATAGAAAAACCTACCAGCGCTTGCTGTGGCTTTGCCTTCTGTCCTTTGAGTGGTGGTCGGTTGACTCCGTTTATGCGTGTGTATAAACCACAGGCATTGCACAGATAATGACCGGTGCCGTCGCGGCGCCACAGCGGGGTGGTTGCGGCCGCACAGTTCACGCACTCCTTGACTTCACCCATGCCAGCCATTCCTATGTACATATTAACAATATGAAAATTAAATTATATGCGTTAATTGTCTTCTATATATCCTGTTGCCTGACATAGTTTGTTACTAACCAGGGTCAAACTGCTCATCCATAGGTAACAAGTTATGCGAAGGCCAGGGCTGCGAGGGTGGTGCGTAGCTCTCAACAAGCAGACCAGTTTCGTATCCAGAGACTGGCACGTATTCAACTCCACTCTGCGCGAGGTATTCACCGCCCACCTTGTACTGCACCGCGCTGCCGTGCGAGTACAGCGTGACCTGCTGCGGCGCAGGGCTAGCCGGCGGCTCGTAAGGTGCTTGGCCGTATACTACACGAGTGCCTAATCCCGATGACGCCAGAGTTGGGTCAGCGCGGTATAGCAATTGCGGCGGGCTATCCTCGCCGCGACCGCCGCCACCTCCATACAGTGTCACCAGCTCTTTAGTGGGTGCGGCAGGCGCGTAGGCACCATAGCCTCCAGTGGCATACTGAGGGCTTTGTGCGTAAGTATATCCGCCTTGCACTGACGTCACAGGTTGCAGGCTTGCATACGTGCTTGCCCGCGCTTCCGCTTCGCTTGCGCTTCCTGCCCCACCGGAACTCCCCGCCCCTCCTGCGATTCCACGCCCTTCGTACTTCACCTTTGATAGAAATTAATTATATTTTAACAGTAATAATATCAGAAAATTTACTTTTAGAACTGAAAAATTCCACCATGAATCACAGATGCTTATCTATTGGCGTATTTCGATTTAGCCTACGTCAGTGTGTTAATACTGCACCTATGTTGATTTTATCTAAAAATACATTTTAGGCTACCCTAATCTTTTCAAAATTAACAGTTTTTGTAATTTAAAAAAGAAAAACTATGCCTCTTCTATTCTGCGATGGATAGGTCAGAGACAGAATTATTACGAACCTGTTGGTAAGCGACGCCGACGGCTTGCTGATTGTTAAGAGCTGTTGTCTGGATCATCTCTAAAGTAGGCCCATGATCAGTTTGTAAAGAGGCGGCTACAGCATAGTGACGTGCGTCAGCCTCTCCTGCGTAGGTCTCGGTTCCATCGGGAGGCGCTTCCTCGCCATCCTGCGATACTATAACGTGGTACGGTGCCCCATAGCGCAGCGCCAGACTACGTCCGTATTGCGGGCGCCCTGCGGGTGCGCGGTAAGCTGGGATAGCGCGTTTATCCATCTGAGATGGTGAAGGCGGCTGTTGCGTCCGGTAGGGCTCCTGCTTAAATGCGAGGTAGCGTGCGGCGTCTTGCTCAGCGGCGCGCAGCCGTTCTTCATCGTATGGCCGTTCGGACTCTGCGGCCGTACGGTAGGGTTCCAACTGCGGCTCGGGTGGCTCGTCCTTAACATCATCTATGCCTTCGGGAGTCTCGGTGATGTGTCCAGCTGCAGTGATAGTTCGTAACGCTCGGCGCGATGTAATTACTGACTGCTGCTCGCCTTCGGGCAACGGTTCCCCTTCATTAGCACCAGCTGTGCCTTCGACCCGCTCCTCGTTCTTAACAAGCTGCAACGCCTCACCGGCGCCATCGGCTTGTGGATCCTCACGTGACAACTGCATGCTCTTCATAATTCGAGTTTAACTGAAAGGTTGATTTGCGTTAGAGTTAAGGAAGGTGAGTTCTTTGAACTCAGTATAGACGGCGTGTTTGCTCGCGGCCGTGTCAACACGCGACATTTGACCGGAAGGCGCGACTCGTCTCGGAACTACAAATAGGGAACACAGTCGGCGCCGGCGCCGCACGCGACAACTACGGCCTCTAGTTTTGTTTTTAATTCTAGATAAGGAGTTTAACAAGTCATCTCCTATCGGAGTCATACTTCTAATGTCATCCTTGCAATTCACACAAGCATGTTAAAACATTCTTTGTTTTATTTTTGAACCCTTTATTGCTCACATAAAATAATAAGAAATATTGTGCAGCGTGTTGAATAAAAAAAATAGCATCTATTACAACAGCCGGTCTTAATGCTAATACCCGAATGAAGGGAAAACATATGCCAGAGTTGTGGGAAGTGCAAGAAGCGCAAAACTTATAAGCTACTTAATGTATGTTCGATTTATTACCAAGTCTACTAAGGAGGCAGGACAATTCCATATGTAAACGTTTCATACATATAAAAAAATAATTAAAGGAGTTTTTATAAAAGTTATTAATTAAAGTCAAGTCAAGTCAAAGTCAAAAATCATTTATTCAAATAGGTAACACAATGTACACTTATGAACGTCAAATAAGAAATATACATTAAATGCTTCTAATTTTACATTTACTGCCAGTTCTCAAATCAAGGGCGTAGCACAGAAGAGAATAACTGGCAATAAACACTCTAACACTCTTTTTAATCGCCAAGAGATTTCTTGTTAAATCTGTCTAAGTTAAGGAAGTTTAAATGATCTTAGAGCATCCAGCTATTTCAATATTTTATTGAGCTAATTTCGGTGTGGTATGTGATGTGGGGTCGGGATAGTGTTTGCTCGCGAGCGATAACGGGTACATCTCGCTGATAAGGCTTGTTGATCGAGCCTCTTCCGACACACACATGTACGACGTCACACCCAATGTTGGGTAATAGAACCCTCGACTTGAGTTTAAACGCTAACATATTTCATCAATAAAACTCAATCACTAATTCAATACATTTTTATTCCTTAATTATTAGGCTATTTTGCTCCAGTATTCAAAATTTCTACGAAGATGTGTCTGTGTATGTTGCGCTTATAATTGATGCAAATAACGGGTGGCGCACAAGTAATGGCACTAAAGAAAATTTGTTTATTTTTTTTATATGACGATAGTTTTCATTCTGTTGTTGAAAATTGTGTAGTGAACAAATGTAAAATACACTGAAAATAAACATGGACCGTTTTACTCCCCAAGAACGTGGAATAATCGTGTCAATGTTCTTACGGAATAATTCATCAGTGATAAAAACACAACGTGAATTTCGTCGACGATTTCCTGCAAGATCACCCCAGATTTGGGGTTTTTTGAAATCTCGGGTGTATGTAAACAAGCCACAGACACTCGCAGCTCTAAAAGAAAATATTCATCAAGAAATAAGGAACATATCGCATGAAGTATTAAGGCACGTTACCTATGCAAAATGTCATAAATAGGGCTCAAATGTGCATCAACACTGGAGGTCACCATTTAAAAGAAATCATCTTTAAATCCTAATGATACGAAATTTAATGGCACAAATTTACATTTTTTCTTTGAGAGTGTCTGTAGGTATGTGTATTGCTAGGTTTATTACTAAGTAAGAATCAAAATAATTTTAAAATATCCTTAAGATTCTCTTAAAAAAGTTAGTATTGCTACTAATCATGATTCTTGCTTGAATTATAAAGCTAATTTTCTTTTGTTTCCCGTATTCTATTAAAAATATACCCGTTTTTAGTCATATAAATGTTGGCATTAAAATCGTTAGGAAACCAGTGGCGCTACAACCTTTTAGGAAAGTACGCTGAAGCCTCTAGGCCAATTGCTATGATGTAAAAACGTTAGAATGATAGCATATTTAACACTTAAGTATCAAAGGACTACACAAGAACTATGTAGCATAACAGTTATTATATACACATCAAATAATATAAAATAAATGGGAAAAGTTTTTTTAAGGCACAGTTTAAAAAGTTGGTTAAAGGTTGGAAGAAATATGCCTAAGATAGAGAGATAGAACCAGTTGGAGGTCTATACTCTATAAAATATAATTATTTTTCTATGAAAATATAAGTGTGCATCATTTGTAGATAAAAGTTCCATAGAATAAATTAAGCTTAATTATTATTCATAATAAAAAAATAAGAATAACAACTTTTCACTAGTACCATTTATGACATGGCTCCGTCGAATACAAATTCGATACAATGTCGATGTATTTCATTTAATTAAATGCATGTTTTTATGATGAATGATGATTTTCTATATTAAAAGAGTACCAAGAGTATTTTCGCTGGCTTTTTCTGCCTACACCCTCTGTCTTCATTGCTGATGAGTAGAGATGTCTACCTATTCAAATTAAATGACGTGGAACAAGTGATACCTGTATCTTATGTTTAGTAAAGATATATTTTATTTTATTCTTATCCATATTTTAATGTTATTACTGTTTATGTAAAAATTGGTCCAATCTTTAAAGTCAAAGTCAAATCATTTATTTCAATTAGACCATCTAAAATGGCACTTTTGAACGTCAAAATACAAAGAAGATTCTAGTTGCCCCTTCCAAAAGGTAGTTTCGTGTGGAGAAGAATGGGCAAGAAACTCCACACTTACTCTTTTAAAATAGGTTTACAATATTAACCAAAACATAACTTTCCGATTTAGCCTTTGTTATATAGCGACAAATTCTAAAACGCGGTTAAACTACTAAAAGTCTTAAAAAACAAAAGTCAGCCTTGAAGGATATACTGTCATGGATTTATTTTAAATGTTATGCAACAATATCACAGCAACAGTGATTTTTGTACCTTTCACTGTTTAAACACGCATTGTAATTTCTTAATAATAAAATATATCCTGCAATTTTGCAATGTTTTTCATTAATGCACAACTACTATTAATTGAACCAGGGTACATTCTTTTGTCAATAAATCGACAATGCAACACATTTATTTATTTAATTCCAATCATTATTAGTATGACACATTTGTTTGTCTTGTATTCGCTCGCATTTATTATCAAAATAGTTATATGTCATATTATTTATAGCATAGGGTATCCGTACATATAGAATGTATGTGAATTATAGATTCACTTAACTGATACAAGGGTAATGGCGAAGAAAATACTTTTGTGAATTAAACTTCAAACGCGTTGAATTCTTACTCGGGTTGCGTCGGGAACGGGGATGCGGGAACTAAGGTAATGCATAAGTCACCAGCAGACTGTACCGGCTTCGCAGGACTGGATTTTAAACCTTTTTGGAGATGAATATAGCCTATGTTACTCAGGGATATTGTAGCCTTTTGTTTTAGGTATTTTGTTACAAACATACAGAAACAAAAATTTATTTTTATAATCTTCGTTTAGAATATCACTAAATACCTACGTTATTGAAGTTAAAAATGATTCCCTATAAAAATATACTTATTAATTTGAAATGTAGTTGGAATTAATTTTACTGTAATACTTTATTATAATAACGCTGAGAAATTTCTCCGAATAGTATTCGAAAAGAGATTTTAATGTAAAATAGAGCCTTCCGTAACGTTAACGTTATATGTTCCTATGATAAAAGACAGAATATATAAATAGCTATCTATATAAATAAAAATGAATTGCAAAATATGTTGATAAGCGCAAAACTGACGGCTGAGGAAGGATTTTGAGAGAAAAATTGGAAAAAAAATGTAAAATGTAGTTTTATTTAGTACTTAGGTTTTTATTTCGGAAAAGCTATCAGTTTATGTGGGGGAGCATAGCAAAATGTCCCATATGTTGTAGATAGTAAAAAAGTAGGCTGAGTAAAAAAAAACATATTAAGGCGAATCAAATTTCGCGGCGGCATGGCAGCTAGACAAAATTTCTTTGTGATCGAAAAAGCAATTGGTATATAGCATATTTATTCATATATCTTTTAAAGTTCTGATCTCTTTCTGTACTCGATAAACTCAAAAAAACAGATTTTTGTACGGTTCTCACAAATAGACGGTGTGGTAACTAAAGTGTATAAAGTGTAATAAAGCCTAAAATGGAATTGATAAGGACGCAGAAAGTCTTACCAAAATTCGAATGTCATGATTTCAAATGTAGAATTTGTATGAAGCTATATTTTAGAACAGTTAAAAAAATATAATGAAGCAATATGTGTTGACAAAAAGCCGAAAGAAACTAAGTGCTTATACTGAATAGCATTGAACCCATAATTTATAACAAAAGATTAGTCATCAATTGTCAATGTATTTTGCTAAATATAAATGCACTTCATGTTAAGTAATGTGTCAATAACGAATAATACAGTATTTATGTAAATTAAATTTTAGCTAAACGAAAATAATGTCAACACAAAATGACTTTTCCGAACATAAAAATATAGCTTCCATGTGGTAAGTGAAATTATTTAAAACTTTACCAAATGCTTCGAACGTCTAGCGGTGGGAAAATCAAAGGCGATATAGTGGTCTTTAAAATAACGTAACGGTCTTAAGATGACGTATGAGTTTGGACGTAACATACTTGACTTATGTTATATACAGGCACTCACCGTGTTTGTGATGTGTAAGCGTCCTAATTAAGCTGGGCTAGGTAAATTTGAGGTGTACAGAGCGAACTCATTGCCGCTCGCCGCGCGTCCCAATCGCGCGCTATCGCACCGCACTGTGTTATCGCGTCGAAGCTCTTTACCTGGGGGGAGGGGAGGGGGCACCGGGGGGAATAGGGAGGAGTACGGCCGCGCGATTGGTCGTCATAATTTTCTCAATTTTTCCCCTCACGCGCGATGCGAGCGTCAAATAACGCAGCCATTAAGCAATGATATTTTTATAAATCTAGAGTTCGGCTTCTACGGAAAGTCTACTTCAGAATTATATGTATTGAGTTTTAATTTTCATTTTATAAGCTTATGGGAATGCGGGGAATTTACTGAAGACTATATTTTATCTTATAATTATAACTTTTATAAAAAATTATAACAGAAGATATATCTTGCTGATGTAGTGAGAACTATATTTCAGGAGCATGTGAATTATCAGTTACATTATATGTAACATAGTAAACAATTTTACGAAATAATTAAAATACTTACGATCATTCAGAAATTCAATTAAATGACTAACTATAAGTTTAATATAATATCAAAAATACGAAGTAAATCTTTTTAAAACTATTTTAGTAGAACTACTGATATTTGTTTTTCTTCGTATCAATAAAAATAAATATTTCCAGTAATAATCATTTTAAATTATTAATTGCTCTTAACTACGTCCAATTGCATAGTATTCGTAAAATAATATTTAGTTCACGGTTAAAAACCAACTGCACAGCTTAGCATTAATAATAATCATATCGTAGAATCGATAAAAAAATAATGTCGAGACAATAATTTCGATGTTATCTTTATAACAAAAACTTTAAAAAATTGATAAATTTAATGCCCATATCTAATCAATGGCTTACAGAAGACATCGATCATCGCTCTAATTGCGCACTCGCTGTACACACACACAATATTTAGTGTCGATTAAAAACACTTTTTATAATTAATAAAAAATCAGTAGCGCTACACTTTAAGTCTTGATCTCAGATTTCTGAATCTGCTTCATGATAATTTTTAAATCTAATAGGCAATTAGGTGATCAGCTTCCAGTGCCGGCGACACACACGCCGTCGACTTTTTGGGTCTAACACATGTCGGTTTCCTCACTATGTTTTCCTTCACCGTTCGAGCAAATGTTAAATGCGCACATGGAAAGAAAGTCCATTGGTGCACAGCCGGGGATCGAACCTACGACCTCAGGTGGGAGTCGCACGCTGAAGCCACTAGGCCAACACTTTTTATAATTAATAACAATAATTCATTTCGACTTGTAATAATGCCTAGGCATTAGCAACGCAGGGTTGAGAGTATAAATAACGATCATACACACAACTTACACTAGCCGTGAAGGCAAACATTATAAACTAATACCTTGACGATATGTGTCAGGCACAAAAAGCTAACTACCTACTTGCTACATAGATGGTCAAAGAAAAGGAAGCAATCTCAGGCCAAAATCTGCAGTAATAGCGCCGCTGGACTACTTTTATTAATATTAATTCGTGTCTAGTATAATTTATTTTCACATTAAAGATCACAGGACACTCTGCAAAATGTAAAATTCTACTATTTATTTATGTAAGACAAACTCGCACGCCATTATGTGTGGCAGAATATACGAAGTTTGGATTGTACCACCATAATATTGTACCATATTCTTGCATAATTTATATGCAAGAATATGGTACACAATATGGTATGGTACGCATCAGGCCCTCGTATCCTACCATGCGTTAATCAAGTACGTAGACACCAAGGATGGAATTGATTGAAGATTTTTCTTGGTCAAAACCCAAGAGGCTCGAGTAAAACTTGGAAAGTTCTTAACAAATTCTATTTGTATTTTACTAGAGTTTTTTTTATTGTTATACAGATGTACCATCAATTCATAGTATGCATGGTTTGTACGTTCAGATCGCAAGGTTTCGCTCTCGTATAGGTCAAAATAATTTTCAGCTTAATAGTTTAGAGTCTTTTTTTGGTGCCTCTTCATTATAGGAGTTTGGCCGTCTGTCATAGTTTCAATACAATAAAACTTTTCAAACAATAAGTACTTATACAGTTATTATTATTAGTTACTACTCGGATATGGTGTTATTTAAACACCAGCTGAAGGGGAAATACTCTAAAGTACCTAGAAACCTAGAGTGCCTAAACTAGTAACTAATCTTTTGTCTCTTTCTGTCAAGCTGTGTTTAGGCTGTGATGAAAAGCGACAGCACGTAAGTTAAAACGCTGCAATAAGACTAATCTATATTTTATGACTATGTGGTTTATTCCTGTCATTTATGATTTATATGTTAATATATGTAATTTGTAAAAGGATGTTTTATGTTAAAATATTACTTATTTGAAAAATTATTAAATCAGCGTTATTCAAATTACTCCCGTTACCAGGATAGTCTTAATATTATAACATTTAAAAAACCAAGTTAGTTAAATGAACTAATTTAATATTATTTTAATTGAACTAATACTCCTTTCTGCAAAATTTCTTTTAAAGTTACTTACCATATGGTGACAAAATCCAAATCAGTTTGAAAATTTAAATTCTAAAGAACATCAAACCAGCCATAACAAAAAGATTGCGAAATATCACAATATAAGACACACATTTACGTATAAAAAAGATATTATATTTAATGAATTAAATTTTATGATTGCTTGTAAAAAAAAGCTCTTCTTTAAAGAGACACATGACATAATTGAAAGCGTTTCAAAGCATTTTCTGTCTGTTTTTGTGAAAAGTCTAGAAAGATAAAATAGGAAAAAAAAATCTTAAATAAGTGTGTCGGGGTTTCGATATCTTAGCGACAAATCTGAGTGATTTTATTTGAGATAACTGTTTCAATTATTATCGCTAACACGAATAAAATGAGTGATCTAATTAAAGAATAATCGTTTCATTTAAACAAGGATCTTTTTTTCTTTTTCACCCATCTGCAATCAACCTCTACTTTTATCAGATTTTATGATTTTGAGGCAATTAGGGAATGCAAATAAATGATTTGTTTTCCCTCCGTAACTCGCAACCAAACTGCGTCATGTCACTTATCAGCCGAAACTCGCAGTCCGCCGTTTCCAAGAGGCCCGGAGCTGAGTTGCTGTTGTGTGTGTAAGTTGCTGAAGTCTCCTTTTGTATTGTTCGGTATCTAAAGCCTTAAAAAATTACTGTAAGAAAATATGTTTTTATACATTTCTGTCAGATATAACAAAGGCCTTTATCGGTCAATAAGCAGCTATTAAGCTGAACAAATTCTTTACATAAAAGAAATAATTAGTCATAAGTATGAAAACGTTTTCTGTCTCATTTTAGTTGTGATCTTCTTGCTTTTGTTTTCTCCTATGATGATAGTACCTATAATTGGACAGCACAATTTTAGGTGACAATTATTATTATAAAAACGTCTACGTACTACGCCGCTACACAGCTACGTAGCCGTTCGTAGCGGCTGTCGTGTAATCGTAAAATAGACGTATTTTTTTCGCTAGGCAACGCTGTCAAAACTTATAGCAATATAAGCCAAATAAATAAAAGATATGAATGTCCAATATATTATGTTATCGACACTTGTCGCGATATCAGTATATCAGCCTGACTCACGTCCGAGATCAATGCTTATCTACGCCTTACGGTTGCGTTGCAGGCTCACAATATTCTCACTAAAATATCTCATAGTTTAGGTAAGGCAGACTCGTTACAACGGTGTAATCATCTTATCAGTAATTATCACACTGATTACAGAAATAAAACAATACTGCTCTTGTTTCTGGTCTCGTCTAGTTCGGCCTTACGAACTTTACGAAAAATGTTTAAACACAAGATAACACAACCTAGTAATAAAAATCTAAGTGCAACGGGCTTATAAGCGATCTCTTTCCGTGCTAAAAAAGAGTTAAAAGAAAAGTAAATAAAAAAGGAAATTTAAGTTTCTGGTTACCAGTTTTAGTCCGAATGACTCGATACTTCATATAGTTTACTACGAAATGTGTTTAAGCAATGACGCTACTTCCTTCTAGGAAATATTTCATACAATATCTAATATAACGGCACATTTGAACACGTAAAAAATTTTGTTTGCGTTACAGAGACCGAACCTAAAAAAATCCTTCCTTAAGAAAATGTTAGTTACATATCACAAATATCAGATGTGTATTGATAATTGATCAAGTGTGTGATAAGGTGACAGCCGCCTGTCTACTGTCAATATCTTCATATAAACAAGATTATCAGCATCAGTTTTATTGACAGATCAATGATTTTATTTTTTTGCCAACAGTAAAACATATTCTCAGTTTTAACATTACACAAGCAACCATCCCGCCGCTGTTTACAATACATTGATGTTATCTATCATAATTCACAGCGTGTACGGTGTTTGCCCTTTGCTAACTAAAGTAGTAAATACATCATAAAAGCCCATAATATAGTAAAATTTAGTGAATAATACGAAAACTAAATTGTAGGCATTTTATGCATAAAATAATTGGGAATCAAATGACATTTTAGACGTCTACATTGTTGAAATTCTCTTATGATTTGCCAATTTCATCTGTATTTACTAATAACTAAGTAGATTTCTTCAAAGTTATGACAGCGTTCAGAACTTCAGTTTAATTCATGCCTGAATCATCAATGCACGTAACTCCAGTGATAATGAGATAAATGCCCACGTATCTTTACGATATCATTACAAAATAGTGAGATAAATACATAATTAATGATACTTTGTATCTTTATATAGACGTCGCGGTATCTATGCAGCAAACTAAAAAAAGGTACGCGACTGACACACTTTTGAGGTGTTGTAATGCTTTGCATTCAGTGAAGTACTTATGGAAGAGAGGAAAATATGGAAATAAAGAGACATTTTGATCTCGTTATAGTAAATGCGACTTTTGCTTTTATTTATCTATTAATAATCTTACAGGTAACATACATAGGTATTATAAAGCAAAACAGACAATGTACAAATCCAAAACAGATTATATAGATAAACATTATATATGAAACAGAAACAGAAGACAAAAATAATAAAAGAAAACTGAAATTTAACATTAAAAAAACGACAATTAATACTTAATATTTCAAAGAAAGAACTAAATTGTTACTGCTAAACAAAGTCAGAGTCTTCCCACCTCCGCCTTTTGGGACTTAACTAAGCTGCAAAGGCGTATGATAGGCCTGGTGAATTGTTCTCTTATGTAGAACAGTCAAGTGCAATGACCCCACCCCCCAGCAGTGGCTTGTCTAAGATATGCAAACTGCTATCTTGTTTATCTTAACTAGGCGTTAATATGCTGGTTATCTTCGAGATTTGATAATAGTATCTAACAGATAGAGCGTGTAGCGGAGCTGGCGGTGTTGAGAGCGGGCTAGGCCGGCTGCAGCCGCGGCCGGGACGACTGCAGGGTGATAAGGGGAGCAAACAGCGCCGGCGCGGGCAAATATTTGTAGGGAACGGCGACGTGTCATTACTCCCCCCGCCTCGTTCCTCAAGCGACGATATGAGACCGTGATATGACGGCACTATCCCTGATACGGAGTAATTATCAGATACAAGTTCCACAGATTTGATTACGAGAGCTCGTCTCCTCATTATACTGGCCGCCCCGACACGAGCAGCGCCTGTCTCCTGCGGGAGACCAGCTTTCGAGAGCTGGTGACTCGTCTGCATTTTGTGTAATTCCGTGTGTGATAGTGCTCTAGTGTGGGTGCGGGGCGTGGGGCAGGGGAGGAGTGTCCGGCGATCCGATAAGCCCTCGATACGTCCGCGGATTATTGATGGGCGCCGCTCGACCTCATCATGATGTTATCACTTGTTTTTTTCGTCGAATATTTTCCGTGAAAAGCTAATAAAGTGTTGGAGTGAGTGGGTGAGAGACGCGCGGGGCGGCGACGACACGTGACGCGATAAGCGGCCATATTGTTTCACTGTCCCCTCTACCCCCGCACCACACCGCAGCGGAATTTCAAGAACGGTGTATCACGCAATCCCCACGTTTCAGCGCTCTTGAGTGCTTACACAATGACAAAGAGTAGGTAGGTAACACGTACTCACCTCTAGGTACCTGTGGCGTAAACTGGAACAGCGAAGTGCTAGCACAATAAACACGATAATACTATTTACAATAATCTGCCATAGCTCTTGTTGTTCCCTTATAAACTTTTTGAGGTCATTCGTGCAAACAAAATATAGTAGTGGTAAACATAATGATATGGATAAATAGAAATACAGGTTTCTTATATTGGCTTTATGGCTAACAGAATCCGCTATTCCAAATACATAATTTATTGTTATATCTCAAACTTTTATTCAAATAAAAAATGAATAATTTAAAATTATTTCGCGGTTAATTCTTGTGGCTTTAAATGGCCGTCAGCAAAAGTTTGCACGCTTACGTAATTTACAAATATGTTATTTGACAAGAGATTGTTTACTCATAAAATCTAAGTGCTCTTTCGTCTCTTTCTATCAAATGGTGTTTACGCTAAGAAAAGAGAGAGATGAGTTTTACTAAAACGGTGCCATGAACTGATTAGTTTTATAATAAGTGTGTTAGTATATAATAGCGTTTAGATTTCATGTTTCAAGATTCATCACTTCTGCAAAAATTAGATTTAACATGTGCTTTTTAAAAGCCCCATTTCAGGCTTACAATTCGACGCATATATTTTTTCGTGTGTATGCTGTATTTTTTAAAGCAGTGTGGCTTAAAAGCGTACGGAATGACAAGAATACGAATGGGAAAGGTGGTTTATGTAGAACAAATGAATGAGATGCGGTTAATACAAGGCAACTGTGGATGGCGAAGTCGTGTTGCCTTGTCCTACATACCTGGACCAAATCCAGGACAAATCTGGGACAAGTTAAAAGTACCCATAACCGACAAGCATGCATAGTGAATGTGAGGTACGTCAGCGTACCAAGTACGGCGTAGCAAGTTGAGATCCGTGGTCTCTGCCTACGGCCTACCCCATCGGGAAAAGGCGTGAAGATATAAATAAATAATTAAAAAT